AGTTAGTCATACTAAATGTGTGGTTAAAATAAAAGTTTAACCCTCTTAAATTATAAATTAAGAAAATCCAAACAGGCACTTATTGTTCTAAGTTTGCCTTGATACAGTGTTTTTTCAATTATTCTTTTGAAGGAAAACTTTCCTTGCTTTGTACACCAGTCTATGAGTTTATTATAATCATGTTTAGATGGGGGGTATGAAGTGGGTTAAGCAGTTTGTTTGCCGACTCGTCAATGGCTCGCGAAGTCAGCTCCTCAAAGTATGTGAAAAATACAATTTCAATTAAAACATATATCTTCTATATATTAAAAGTGGTTATGAAACGGAATTTCTTGTTTTTAACTGAAAAACTAACGGAATTTGTTGTTTTAACGGATTATGTAACGGAATTTCTTGGTTTAAACAGGCACATGCACCTTCTTTCAGTGTTTTTATCATAACTTTGTATTTCGATGTTCGATTGAGGCGATTCAAAATGCGTTGGAAAGCTAACCCATCTGGCTACAACTTTGATTCAGACATCATTCTCCAATTCGATCACTTTCTATGCCAAAAATATGTCTCAATATAACGGACTATTTCGTAACTTTTTGAATGACATTTTTGTTCCAATTTCCAGTGAGATTACAGCCACCTGCGTGATTCAAAGACTGTACTCTCATTGCAGAATATACTTGAAATTAAGCACAATATCACTGCAATGACAGATTTAAAGCAGAAACATACAGAACTGGGATGCTGTTTCAGAATTACAATATTTCATATTGGTAAACAAGCAAAAATTATCTCCAGTTTCAGACCAGTGACATAAATGGATCAGTTAGCGAGAGATTTTTATTCATTTTGCACTCAAGAAAAACATCACAGATATTAGACTGATATTTAACATGTTTCCAGTTATTTCAACAGTAATTATTTTGCTGCTGAAGTCAAATGAAGTAATACGAAAAATAATTTTAAGTGCTCCCACGTGTAGGAATAAATTGAAATATATGGAGCTGAGGATTCCATACATTTGGAAAACTTTTTAATTACATATCGGACATCTCTGAATTCCAATTACTTTGAAAAAATTCACTTAAGAAGAAAAACAACAGCTTGCATGTCCAGTGAGATAAGTTGCAACAGAATACTCATGCATTTTATTTCCTCATTGACTTTCGAATTCCCAGCTGCATATGACACGAACCTGTTTTTGACTTAAAAGGAAAAGAACGGTTGAAAAGCTTAATATCTACAGGCTGTAGATGAAGAGCAGGCATAATTTAATCCTAATAATTTAGATGGGAAGGAATTTATGGGGAGCGAATATGTTCTATTCAGTAACTTCTACCTTTATTCTTTCCTTCCTGTCTACATTTTCAGATGTACCCAAATGCATTCCAGGAGATTCATTATAAAATATAACATAAAATGATGATGCATCTAAATGGCAAATCAGACTAAGATAACCAGAAAATAACCAAGAAATAGTCTTTATATCTGCATAAGAAACGAACAGTATTAAGTTCAGCATTCTAAGAATTGAGAGTTTAGCACCATCAACAAAATTACAATAAAAGAGGCAACATATATTATATGTTCATTAGGCATATTAAGCTGCACGCAAGCGACAGAATCAAACAATCACGTCTAAAAGCACAAATTAAAGAGGGGAAATAGGAAATAGAGGAAAAGTGAATTTTAATCAGAGCCAAACATCCTATGAATCCTACCTACAAATTTCCATGTACAAAATTAGAATAATCTATTAATAAAACAATCCATATCTAATCAATTGCATTAATTGATCGTACAAAGGCATCCATTGGTTGTAATCATTTACACAAACCAAATTTGCAAACATCGATCAAATATAATTAATTATAGAAAATCGATGAAGAAGAGAGAGGGGGAAAGATGCGTACAGAAGTCTAGTGGAACGCGATAATGAGAAAATTATTCAGCGTGAGAATGGAGAAGAAGAAGAAATCAGATTGCATGGACACAATGGCTATAGCGATTTGATGTCGTTTAGCTGTTGCTGAACCTGCGTTTAGGCTGACATATGGCACCAGAAACGATAGATATAGCAATGGAAATTGCATTTCACCCCCTCAAATTATCGCCAATTTCCTTCGTATCCTTTTATTTGCCTCCCAATAATCATTTAGGGTCTGTTTGATTGACAAATGTGAAAAGACTTTCTAATACCATATAAGTTGGAAAATAAAAATTCAAGTACCATGTATGAATGCATTTTCCATTGAAATTGGCAAAAAAAAAAAAAAAAGCTTAAAGTAGTTGTACTTTAAAATTCGAACTTCATTTCCACTTTCATATCAAACAGTCAAAATAGAAATTGAATTTCTCGGATGTTACATTTTTCATAGAATTTAAATCAATCAAACGGACCCTTACATCACTGTCCATATTGTACAACGGATTGTGCAACATAGGGAATGTAAAGCAAGATATACATCTAAATTATCCCTATAATACACACACACAAACACACACACACACACTATTAATGGTCTGTTTGACATTATTTTATTTTACTTTTATAAATGAGTTATTGAAGGAAGTTAATTTTTAAAAGAGTTTCTTATTTCTAAAGTGTTTTTAGAGTAAATTACATTGGATAAGTTTTTCTAAAAGAGTTCTAACTAAAAGAAACGCTTATAGAAAATTAGTCAAACGGGTTCAAAAGTATCTTTTGGATCTCGAAAACTCCTTTTGACTTCATAAAAGTCATAGCAAACGCCCCCTAATTCGCATAGAATATTATAATGAACAAATTTTAGTTATTAATTTTTTTTTATCGTGTCAAGTAAATCTAATCAAGTTTATAGCTCAATTGTGATTGATTTATTTTAAGAACTTATTTGGGATGGTTTATAAGTTGCAGAAATTATAAATTGATGGAAATTAATGTGGATAAGTGGGTAGTAGGATGAGTTAGTCATACTATATGTGTGATTAAAATAAAAGTAAATTACAAATTAAGAAAATCCAAACAGGCACTTATTGTAAGTTTGCCTTGATACAGTGTTTTTTCAATTATCCTTTTGAAGGAAAACTTTCCTGGCTTTGTACACCAGTCTATGAGTTTATTATAATCATGTTTAGATGGGGGTATGAAGTGGGTTAAGCTGTTTGTTTGCCGACTCGTCAATGGCTCGCGAAGTCAGCTCCTCAAAGTATGTGAAAAATACAATTTCAATTAATATATATATATTAACAGCAGCAAGCAGCTCAACCCACAATTTAATTGAATGAGCCAGTTCGAGCTCGGCTCGCCCCACCTATTTTCAGATCATTAAACTCAAGTAGGTCCCTCGTCCTTGAACTGCAATCAAATTTACCACACTCGATAAATCTAAGCAATGTACCAATGAAAAGTAGACTCAACTGCAATAAGCTAATTGACGTGGGATGTTAAGATTTTGGGTTACCTCTTAAAATGTCAACCTTATTAAGTAGAGTAGTTCAAACTTTTATAAATTGGTCTATATTTTAATCTTTATTTGATGTAAGATTGTATCCCTTAACATGGCCCACAAGATGGCGGTTCGTTTGAGCAGACCAATCTTGAAATCCGTAGGATCAATTTTTTTTAGTTTTAATCGGATCGAATTGCTCGTTGGAACTTAACATACTCTGATACCATGTTAAGATTTGAGGTTCATCTTAAAATGTCAACCTTATTAAGGTGAGTAGTCCAAACTCTTATAAATTGATCTATATTTTTATCTTTATTTGATGTGTGATTGTATCCCTTGACACTAATCACATATTAATCATGGTTTGCACGTTGGGGTCTCTATTAATTTCAATATTGATCTAGCTCTCGCCACTTTCGATCTCGAAAACGAATTTCTTATTAGTTGCGAGCACTCTCTGGTGAACTTTAAGGCATAAGAAAAAGACATTATAATCCCATCGAAACTAATCAGTAAATGTTCGTGCGTGACATGAACATGTAATGAAAACTTAAAATATTTTCGTTTCGTTCACAAAGAAAGAGATGATGCAGTCGATTTGAATATGTTCAAGATAATAGTGGGTTGTTGGCGTGGGAGGCAAATGTACTTTGAAAGGTGTGGTCCTCTCCTGCAAATCGAACCATCAGAATTTACAGGGGAAAAGCAAGAATTAAAAGCTATCAATCCCAGAAAAGTAATGATCATTCTCATTAACATTCCCATCCTATACTCGACAATGTTGCGATTATAATAAGGTAATACGCAGTGTTTGTTCGTTGTACCGTGACCTTAGTCCGTAAACACCAGCTGTCCGATCTTTTTGTGATCAACGGATTGCTATTATCAGAAAATCTCATTCATCAGATTTGTAAATAGAAGGTAAATCATTATGAAAGATTAGTGAATAATAATAAAACTAATTTCTTTTTAAAAAATTTAAACAGAAAGAGAACGAAAGATCCCGACTTTTCCTTTGGCGCATTCTCCTTTTCATTTCTATGCTTTTGGGTAACCACAAATCACCCTCTCTCTCTCTCTCTCTCTCTCTCCAATTTAACAGTACAAGGACAAGCTGTACCCGAGGATTAAAAGGCTGGAAACTGTAAAGCAGTGGAATCTGTAATATACTTATTGCTGTTGTTTTCCTGAAAATTTGATCTCTCTGTTTTGAGCTGGTATAGAGTTTTTTTATAATTGTTTTCTTTTCGTTTCTCCGAGGATTTTTCTTTACTTTCAAATAATTCTTATATTCTCTGCATTGGGTTTTTCAGGAACTGAGTGAATCATAATCCAATTACTGGAAGTCTCGTTTGATTGATTTCTTTAAGGTGAGTTATTGATAATGCACCATCTAATTTTAATTCCTTTTACGTGCTATTTTTTCCTGGGAAATTGATTTGGCTTTGATATAATGGGAAATTTTGATTGGGTTGTTTTTGAATTATGTTAACGTGACAGATATGAAAGGAAATTTCATTCTCTAGGAACGGGAATAAAAGAAATTTGTTTGGATTATTAGGAATTGGAGTTGAAATGGGGAAAGGTTTGATCTGTACAATCAGTGGGGGTTTGAGATCAGTTTGCAATCATCCATTTCTTGTTGGTTTTGTGGGTTTCTTAATATTTCTGTATAGATCGTCTCCTTTTGTATTTTCTTTATTGGTTTATGCATCCCCTGTTCTTGTATGCACTGCAATTTTGCTTGGAACCCTTTTAAGTTTTGGGGAATTGAACCTACCTGATGTCGAAATAGAGGAGAAAACAACCCATGAGGCTGTATCTTTGAAAACCGGGGTGTTAGGGGACACTACTGTTGTTCAGAGAAATGAGAGTTACTCTGTGGAGAGAGACGCGGAAAATGGAAGGAATGTAGTAAAGCAATCCATTGATGAATCAAGTAAGACAGCAGGAAAGATCGGTGAGATTGACAGAGAGAACGATTTGGATGATTTGACACCATTAATTGAGGAAAGTTCCCATGAAACTGAGTTGGAGAATGGGACAACTAACAGAGAAAACAGAGAGTTAGGTGTTTTGAGAGACAAGCAGAACAGTGAAGTGCATGAAGTGACACTTGGTAATGGGGAAGTCATGCAGGATCGGTATTCTTCAATTCGAGAGGATAATGATGAATATCTTGAATTGGACGATGCTAAATCGGAAGCAGATTCTTTCGATTCCAAGAGAGTGTATGTGGATCCTCTGGATTCACCTCCCCGTACATCTTGGAAACGGATAAAAGAGGAAGAAGAAAAGGAAGAAGAGACGGAAGAGGACGAGGCTATGGATTCTGGGTCTGATGGGGATGAGAGTTCCTCTCCAGATGCTTCCATGGCTGACATAATTCCGATGCTTGATGAGCTTCACCCACTTCTGGACGAAGATGCTCCCCTACCCGTTCAATTGTCCCATGATGAATCTGACTCATCGTCAGTATGTTCTCCAAAATCTAGCACTAGCAGTCAAGAGTTGGATGATGAGATCGATAATCCAGCGGACTTAGAAGTTGAGGATGATGACAATCAAGATGTTGAGGATGAAGAAGAGAAACAAGAGCTCTCGAAGTCTGCCATCACATGGACAGAAGAAGACCAAAAGAATCTAATGGATCTTGGAAGTTCTGAGATTGAAAGGAACCAGCAGCTGGAGAAATTACTCGCAAGGAGGAAAGCTCGGAAAAATATGAGTATGGTCTTGGAAAAGGACTTGATTGACTTAGAAAGTTCTGATCTTGCATTCAATATTGAGCCCATTTCAACAACAAGACAAAACCCATTTGACCTCCCTCGTGATTCTTATGATAATTTGGGGCTACCTCCCATTCCTGGTTCTGCTCCATCTGTTTTAATACCAAGGCAAAACCCGTTTGATATTCCTTACAGCACAGCGGAAGATAAGACAAATCTTAGGGGAGATGGTTTTCATGAGGAGTTTATGACATTTCAATCAAGCGAGCCATTTTTCCAAAGAGTTGAGACTTTTAATGTGGAACCATCTTTTTATGGTGCCAACAGGCATGAGAGACAAGATATAAACTTAGGGCCATACTTCTTTCCACAGCAGGCAGTTTCAGAAGAATCAAGCTATTCACAATTTCAGGGACAATCAAATGAACTTAGGAACTCTAAGGCTAGTTCTGTTCAGGAAACAGAATCAATTGATTTAGCTGGGGATCTGGAAGATGGAAAGCTCGCAGAAGTACATATTTCTCAGGAAGAGGGCACATCGCGGGGACCAGAGCTGATTTCCACAATGGAAAAAGTCATTGGCACAAATTTACCACAGGAACCAGAGTCAACCTCTGAGATAGAGCATGTTTCAGAGAATGTTGGGCGCGGAAGCCAGTCATCTGAAGAAGAAGAGTCTTTGGGGTTGGGACAAGTCAAGAAGAGATATGTTGAAGTTCAATTAGGGGATGCCCAAATTCGTCATGAAGAAGGAAGTGTAGCCCAAGTTCAAAAAATGGAATTTGAGTCAAAAGCAGAAGCTGATGAACAGAGATACAGTAGAGCCTTGAGCTCTTCGTCATTGTCTGAAGGGAGTGATAGGGTCTTCACTGAAACAGCATGTGAAGGGTCATTAGTATTAGATGAAGGGAGAGATGATGTTGCTGAAGAGCCACGAATCTCAACGCAGCCTTCATTAGAAAGTACCAATCTCAATATCACAAGTGAGTTGGTTGATGATATTCCACATAAGGAACCTGTTTATGATTCAAGTCCCCCAGAAGTTAGAAAAAACCTTTCTTCCTCCTCTATGTCTTCTGATGTGATGGATATGGATTTTCTTCCGGTGTTGGTTAAGCAGACTGTTCCCTTAACCCGGAGAGACTCTGAAGAGAGTGACCAAGAACTGGAGAAGGATACTCCTAATACCGTAGAGATGCCGACGGAATCGTCAAATCTGCATCCAGTAAATGAAAATGATTCGGGTCCAAAGTTTGTTACGGGTATAAGAGAGCATGATATTGTAAACTCTGATATATTGGGAGTTGTCCAGAGATCTGAGAGTGCAGGTGCTTCAGTGGAGGGAAATCGTACGTATCAACACGACAATCAGCATACAGAGAGTCAAGTTTCTAGTGCAAGTTGTGATGCAGACGAAAATGTCATGCCCCACGTTGTCGGGGATCATATTGTGGAGTCCGTGTCCTACTTTTCTGAAGATCAAAACTTTGATAGACCAGATGACGATGGACATTCACTGGTTTCTGATGCTAATCTTGATGAGGTTGTTTATCATGAAAGTGAAAAGCCGATTTTCACAAATTATCCTGATGGAAAAGCTCTCTCTCACTCTGACAATGATCTGGCTTCCTCAAATAAATCTGTGAATGAACAGCCTTTCAACCATCATAGTGAAGTCCAGGTAAGTTAAAGTGTATGGTATCAAGCTTTTTCTCATGTTCCATATAATCTTTAGTTCACTTACACTGAATCCGCAAATAGAACCTGCCATTACTCAAGTACTATATGGCTAATGGTAACTTCGTGTGAGCAATATTACAAGGCCTGAATCTAACTATCTAAGCAAGAAAATCTCAGGTCAAATAGTCTGGTATTTTTGCCATTCTGTCTTTGCCTAAATAACTCAGGTAGGAGTTTTGAATAATTGGTTCTTGACCATGAGTACAATTTTCAAATTTCAATGGTTTGTATTGAAATACATATTTGCCCACTTTGTCTACTTAATATTTAAAAAAAAAAAAAAATGTTTCACATCTTCATTGTATGATGAACTAAAATTTGTCAATTACAAACCACTAAGTGTAACATTTATTGCCGGACATGGGGATTGGTTTGTTTAATCGACTTCTGAGTATCAACATGTAATCCCCCCCTTCTCCCTGTGTTTTAAGGAATCTAGGATCTTAGAAGAGCTTGAAGTTTTTAATATTTGTTAAGCAGAAATGGATATTCTGAAATGACAAAAAAGATTATTTGTTTTTCCATACGTTCAACGGCCATGAATATTTTGGAATGGTGAATCTGATGATATTAATAGCAATTACATCCTCAGATGGCTTGAAATATAAACAGCTTCATTCCTCTACTTTGGCTTCATGATATTCACTGTATTTGTGTATTGTATGTAAGTTTGGCTTCATGATTGCAAGCTTGATTTCTTGACTTTGCTTGAAGAAGGATTAACGCTTGAAGTAGAACCAGCCCTGGACAGGTCCATAGAAATATTTTCAACTATTAAAATTGCTATGGAAGGAAAACAACTAGGAGGAAAAGATGTATTGCCATTGCCACTAGATGGCGAAATATGCAATCATGGATTATATGTTAATAATTTATTAAAATTGTCCACAATAAATTTGTCAGTCAGTTGCTTATCTCATCCTATGACAGGAAAAGATGAACTTTCAGAAAAACTACCCCACCTCTTGATTTTAAGATTAATGAACCTTATATTTATTGGAGACTTCATGGAAAATGGAAGTATATGGATGATGATATGACTCCCAGCCCCCTTTGATCATAATTCTTAGGAATTCAAAAACATAAAATACATAAAGAATTTCCCTTTTGAGTAATGAATATTTTAATTGTGATGATTGAACTCAACCTTGAACATGAATGTCTAAAACATGTTTGCTCAAGGTTTGATTTTTCTTTCACGCTCTAATTTTCCTATGTTAAGGTCATTGATCCACTATTACTCTAGGGACTAATATATTGTGTACCAGTATTCGTCAATTGATTTTCGGATTTCTCTCTTAGATACGAAATAATTTATTGAGTTTGCTTAATTTTATTGTTTCAGTTAAATTGCTCTGAGATTCGTATTTAGCTTTTTTCACGGCATTATGCTGCTTCCCATAAAGCATTGATAAACAGTTCTGAGCAAATTTTCTCATTCTTTTATCTTATTTTCATATAATACAGGATGCTCCTAATATCCCTGTCAAGTCAAATAAGGAAGTAAGAACTATGGACAACCTGAATATCCCAGAGATTCCAGAGCTTGATCATGAAGTTTCACCAAGTAACTCTCCATCAAGTCCTGAATTTATTTCCATCCCGTCTAATGATTCTGAGGCCACAGCCCCTCCAGGTTTATTGTACTCAGAGAAGTGCACTGGTGGTGAATCCACTACTTCTCGTGTTGATGTGCAGACTATTATTGAGGATGCAGATGAGATCAAGGAAATTGATGAAGGATTTCTGTCCGAGTTAGATAGCATAGGTGATTTTAATATCATTGAAAGGGGATCAAGCTCAAATGAGTTTGAAAAACATGTAGACAGTGGTCGAGAAAGCTTGTCTTTGTCACACGAAACTGGAAATACGAGTAGAGGAGAGGTTAACTCCAATGAAGTGACAGAATATGCAATGGATTCAGAGAAATTGAGGGAGGAGATTGATATACTCGAAGAGGCAATGGAATCTGCTTCTGAACTACAAACATCTGTAACGAATGCAATTGGACATAGTGATTTATCTGAAAGGGAGTTCAGCAGTAGTGACATCCAGAATTCTCTTGATCCAAGACAAGACGAGCTACACCCACTAGAAAATGACACTACTCCTGCCGATTCTATGGTAGATCAGAATTTGACTCTTGAAGACACAAACCCTGGAATGCCTGTAGGTGATGCAAAATCAGTAGAAGATATTGATTCTGATTTCGAGAAATCTGAACTGATATCTGCGGAAACTGAAATCATTTACAAAGTGATCGAGAAGCCTGTTGTTATTGAGCCAACCGACGCCAGATTGGTTCTTGAAGAAACAGTAACTGAACATTCAAGTCAGGCGGAAATTGATATTGATGCACCAGTTCTTGAAGTTAGATCAATGGAAGATGTTACTTTGGATCATATGCAAGTTCATAATGGCAGTGTTGAGAGTCATACAATTTCTGATTCAACTGATAATGTTTTGCATGTGGTGGCCCAAGGAAGAGCTTCAGAGTTGCATTTTGAGGAACCAGCACCTTCAGAGTTCAATGGTTTGGCCCCAGATCAATCCGAAGAGGGTAATATGGAGAAACAACTGGGGCCAAAGTCCAAAGATAGATCAGCAAAAGTTGAGGCACACGAAGCAGGTTCGTCCAAGCCTGATATACAAGCGATAAAGATAGTCGCTGCTGAATATGAAGTTTAAACTGTTAAAGGAAAGAGGAGAAATTCCCAGAAGTCAAGCTCAAGCTCTAGCTCTAGTTCAAGTTCAAGTGACTCTGGCAGCGAATAAGAAGGTGAAGGAAACCCCGAAAAGAATTGATTTGAGGTCCCTATTTTATCTCGTTAACTGGAAGGATAGTGGGGTTCTCGTGTGCGTGGCTTTATTTGATCAGAAGATGTTTGTTCCTTCAAGAATGAGTTTTCATTTATTTTCTTTAAGTTGTGAGGTGGTGAGATTTTAGTCCAAGTTCAAAGTTTCTTTTGTGAGCAGTTATGACTTATAAGTCTTGTGACCAACTTGTTTTTACCTAGCACGCTGTAAACTGTAATTTTTGGTGTTGATTTTGAGAGAGTGTTCTTTAAAATATCTGCAGACACCATTTTGTTTATGGAGCAGAAAAAGCTTGTGTTGACTGTTCAACTTGTAAACTGCATCTCATTCAAAAGTTCGGTTTTTGAGTTTAATTATATACTATACGACATATAATAAAGTTAAAAAATTTATCAGTGTGAAAATTTTACAGATTGTCAACATTCATAGTTGATACAACCTACATTGGAAACTAGTATGAGTTTACAGCACTAGGATCTGAAGGCACGATACACAACTTTTAACATATTTAAGAAAAGCACCATTCAGAACAACTGCAAATAGTAGCAAATTCTGCATCTATACCCACTATTTCTTTACAAGCAGTTTGTGTCGTAACTTGCCAATCCCTGCAACTCGGGTCCCTCCAGACGAGGATTGTTCTCAAAGCTGCACATAGGAACAAAAAAAAAACAAGAGGAGATCAATTACCAAATATTGGGGGATGCGTGCACCGGGGATAAGGTAAAGCGTTCTAAATAAATTAAGGAGAACCAAGAAGGTGCATAATTTGCGAACATCAAAATAAAATTATATTAACTAGGTCATTTTGATTTGAGTGGGCTGTATGTATTGCATAGAGAAAATTTTAGCCAAAACTTCAAATGCAACAATACTTAAAAGAGTCAGCTTTCACTATAACGGAACATTTAAGACCTTCTTCCACATGTTCTTTCCGTAGGGAAGCACAATTATCTCAAAGTGAGACCAAATATTAACTGAGATAAAATTTGGAATGAGAAAGTTTCATATCACATCAAGTTGTCAAGATGATCATTTGATAAATTGACGGCTTAACCCAGAGGAGGGAATCACAGTGTGTAATTTTGTACATCAAACAATAAGATTTGATGCACTCAAGAATCAAACATTTCATCACAATGGTGGAAACAGAGTCAAGATATCAAAAATAATCAGATGGAAAAACCGTTTCAAACGAAATCAATGGTAATGGATGTTTAGAGAACAATATAAATCAGCATCTTACTTGTTTAGGGGGATGTGCTCAAATGGACCAGTAATAGGTATTGTACCACACAAGTTGTTATTTGAGACATCCCTGGAAAAACAAGTGTAAATATTTTGTGACCATCCTGTGCTTCATCAAGTATCAACATTTACATAATAGTGTACATCTTAAGAACTTACACAACTTTCAAGCTAGATATACTAGCAAGTGCACTTGGGATTGGCCCTGTTAGCTGATTATTATTAAGACGCCTGTTAAAGTAAAGCAAAAGTTATTGACTTCAAATAAAATGGTCAAGTAATATGCAAACTTGCATGCAGTGTGCACATACATGTCTACAAAATGAGCAATGAATGGGAAAATTTTTTGCTTCTAATTGGATAAGTATATGCTTAAAGGGAAATATCTAGGATTGCAACAATAACGACTAGCTAACCCTCATTCACAATTATGATGGGTCGGCTGTATGAATTCTGGATGGCTACAAAACCAAGAAATGAACTGAGGCATTTGGATAGGACAGAGGTATTAATCTAGTAAACAATTATTTCTACTTGCACCCATCACCAAACCCACCGAAGAACATTTGGATTAGATAAATGATAGAGTGATATAGTATTAGCTCACAAGAAGACAAGAAATTTCAATTTTCCCAATGCTGGAGGTATTGTTCCCGAGATATTGTTGTTGTACAGATCCAAGCTTATTAAGCTCTTCAGGTTTCCAAGCTCAACAGGAATTGACCCTTGAATGTTGTTCTTGTAAAGCTCGCTGCAAAATAAAAAAGCCGGCTTTCAGTATCCTCAAATACATGTAAACATACCAACTGTGATGGGGAAAAGGAACCATAAATGAAAAATATTCTTTAAAATAATTTCATAAACAAAATGCAACATATCAAGATTGTTGCAGCAGGCAACATTGCGTCATCGACAGCTTTGTTTATATGAAATATCACTGAAAGGTCAACCAAACATATGTCCCCATAGTAAAATCAAAGGAAGAGTTCTATAAATTATAATACTCACAGATACTGGAGATGTTCAAGTTTCCCAAGCTCAGGTACCAGATGACCAGACAAATTTGAGTTTCCAAGGTCCCTGTAGACTCGTAAAAAAACGATACACTTCAGACTCGTATGCATCACAAAGGAAAAGAAGGTTAGCCGCTATATCCAATGAACAAGCTGGAATATGTGACGCTGAAGAAGAATGATATTCCATTTATTCACATATTACAAGTACATAAACATCATAAAGGAATAATAACGTGTTACACCATGAAAGGATAAAGAAATACGAGAATTCACAATACACTAAAATAACCTCATTGATAGTCGTTTCCTCTAACAATGGTAAAAGACTCAACGTTATATAATATTTCACACCAAGCAAATCCTTATGCGCTATCACCTAGCCCAAAGATCAATAAGATTTGTAAAGCTGAAGCAGGAATGTGTGCTGCTATCTGGTGTACAACTTAGGGGACTGACTAATTAAATGAAGTTCCTTTTTAAAAAAAAAAATTAAAGTAATGTTCAAGTAAAAGAAGGCTACCATTCCTACTCCTATACAGGCCCATAAAATATAAGCAGGTCTTTCGTTGAGTAATTTAGAGGCATAATAATTTTAACGCCTATACTCAGACAAATCAGAAAGATCATTGTTAGCTCAACTGATAAACAAATTCGAAAATCGAAAGATATAAACTTCTGTATGAATCCCAAGAAACAATTCATTGAATCAAACGGTATCTATCCATTCAAATATTTAACTGAGGATGCCAATTTACTTTTGTAACTAGCCACAATAACTAGTTAGATAATTTCAAGTTCACCAAACTAAAAACTTTCAAACAATAAAAATTCAACGACCGAACAAACAAACACGCACACAGACAGAGAGACATATATATCGGTAGATAGATGAATAAACGAGTATATATACGTACACGCGAGTGACGTGGTTGTCTTGGTTACAGGTGATGTGGAACCAGGTGCACGGGTTGACGAGATTTGGATCCCAGCTCTGAAGCACGTTATCCGGGTCGGATAAACTCCGGCGCAGCGCGTACAGCGCATCACCCTCCGAGTTCCCAAACGCTTTAGGTGCCATCGGAGAAGATATTACAGTTAGGGCTACAAATACAAACAAGAATCTCCAGCCCATGGCTCGGATACAAGTAATTTTAGTGTCGATTTTTGGGGGGTTTCAGTTGGAGTTGGACATTGAAGCAATTTTTGTGTGAGAGAAGAATATAATTATGGGGATGATCAATATTGGGAATGGAAAGAGACAACACGGTTAGAATATGGAAAAAATTTAATTAAAAAATCCCAACTTTTACATGCAATATATCATTTAGGTCCTTGACTTTTAGTTTTGTGATATTTGGGTCTTCGATTTTTAAATGATGTCTTAATAAATGTTAATGTAATCAACCTTTTTATATTTTCCGTAATAATACTATTTTAATTCGACCAAATGAGTTATATATAATTATATTAGAATTGTAACGATAGAATACATTTATACGGAGAAATTCGATTAGAAATAGTAGGGGTGGATTTGTTTTAGTCCCGAAAGGGAAAAAAAATGTTTCTTTTACAGATGAGGACATATGCACAAATAAATGAAATTAGACATGTCTCAATCAACGAAGTGCTTTCATTCATTTGACCTTTGAAAAGGTTTGGTGGACCGTGGAAGAAGAATGCTACTCAAACAGGAATTGAAAACAGGCGATGAGCTGCGTGGATAAAAACTGTCGGATGATGTCGCACCATATGTCCCTGTTTTTTAATTTTGTCATCGAGTATATTTGTGTGGCATGATTTTTGGTGGAATTTCTCAAGTACTACGTAGTATAATTGCTCCACTTAGATTAAAATTTGACTTGGTCACAAATGATGGCATTAGACATCGCCAGTAATTGGCTAAAACTTGGATGGAAAAAGATCCCAACTAATGGGTTTAGTGGTGGGATAAAAATTTTATGTCATAAATTAGAAAGAAAAATTTATGTTTATATATAAGAATTAGGGTCACATGGTACAATATTCATATTAATAATTAGGATTGTATGAAATAATAGTTATTCAATAAATAGCACTTAATTTACAACACTTCTTGTATGACTAATTACATAATATTTGTCTCATTAAAAACTATTTTTGATAAAATTCAATAGAACAAAAATATAGAAAGAAGGAAAAATTCATGCAATTATTTTTTGAGAATTAAACAAGTATTGCTTGTTAAAATCTTGCCAATAAAATTCAGTGCTTCTAAGATAAAGAAAAAGAATATAACTATTCCTTTTATTATTGATCCCCGAATATCTTTGAATCGACGCATTCCTACCTCATGTACCAATTTCTTGAATGTAAATATCGACGATGCTTTTGTCAATAATTCAGTCCATTATCAATTGAACAAATATATCGATATCACAAGTCTTCTTAAGCTTATGTATATAGAAGAATTTTGGAGACATATCAAGCCATAATCAACCAAAAGCTCCAACCTACGACATGTATTCACAATGGTTGCTCTCGTTCTTTCTTACCCACAAAGGGCCAAGGTTATGGTGATAATTTACAAGCCACAAAGACAAAGAGATCAACAACGAAGAAGCCAAGGTA